GGCTGCGCCATGCCGGGCGACGTCACGGTCCTTGATTTTAATCTATTCATAAAGGGCTTTTGAACTGCTCTTAGTCTGACCCGTCACCCAGGACCTGTTTGCCTTGGGAGACCCTACCATGGACATATAGCCCCCAACAACATAGCTCCTAGGATCACTCGGGTACTCAAACCCCTCCACCACAATAAGGTGGCGGTTCAAAGAGGGGCATTGAGGAAAGTTTTATAAGAAAATCACAGGCAAGTTGTGAAGTAGGAGGGAGTCCACATCTTCATTCATATGAAGTTTCTGCCAGCTGTGAAGGGGGGGGGCACTGCACTCTGCATTCTACTGTTCATTATAAATGTAAAAATAACTACTCTCTGCCAGCTGTTCAAGATGCTGTGACATGCAGAGGTCATTACTACTCTGATTTGGCAAGGAGATCAAACAGAGCATTGCTGACTACTCTGTGACGCCTGCTAGGCTATCAGCCACTAAGCCCCTGGGTGATGCAAAACCAAAGGCGGGTGTGATTGTAGATGATAATGGCTTTAGAAGTAGTCATGCCCACCTCCTTTTACCCACATGCACTATTTAAGCTGCAAAGTGCTTAGAGCTCCCAGTAAGGATACTATGTTTTCCAGGACTTGCGATAGGACTGATATTTTACCAACCTGTAGTACCTCTGTGTGTAAGTTGTAGTCTTGGAAACCTTTGAAAGAAGAAGAAGACATGCAAATCTCAGCCACCTGTAGTGGAAACGCAGCCTTGGGATGAACATAACTATAGTTACAATACACTGTTAGATTGTTCAGTTCTCTGCAGACTGCTCCTCCACTCTTTGTGTTGCTTCACTCTGTTTTCACTATGTTCTGTGCATCCTCTTTCATTACCCAGTGCTATTTTATACCAATTTCATGTGACAGTTTTAAGGGGCATTGTGTGTTGTGCATTCCATTTCCTCCTATGCCTTTTATGAGATTTAAACGTAATAGGGATTGACAGAGTTAGGAGGGGGCTGTACAGAACAAAACAAAGAAAAGCTCTAACCCCTCACACATTTCTCTTTGAGGGGCATTTAGATGCTGTAGATTTTTGCATGATGTGTAAAATGTGTCAGTTAATCAAATTGTTACAGGATGCACAAAAAGGCTATCAGTCAGAAGAACTTGAATGACATTAGCTGTCTTAACTCATAGTAGCCCTGTAAACTCTTCACTGCAGCCAGGTAGCTAATGCTAGCCTGCAGCTTTCAGGCTAATGTCATGAAATGCTGTATTGGAAGGGATGTATTAGCGTGTAGATCTTTGCTCTTTCAGGGCCGAAACTAATTATTAAACATGATGAATGTGTTCCCCCAGCTGGACACTAATGTCCTTAAGCCTTTCCCATCAAATGCCTGTCACATTAAGAGCCCTGGCGAGAGAAGCATGGCAGCAGCCACCTAATCCCGCCAAATTGGTCAAATAAACCCTCATCAATGTGCAAACTCTGTGCTGTTTGTCACACACACACAGAGCTGTCAAAAACAGTCATACACACACTAGGGGAATGGTGTATGTAAATAAATTATGGGAAAATATACAATACTTGAAAAGGCCAACTATCACACACAAAAAGGTCATCTCACTGACATATTTCATAAGTTATTATATACACAAACACCCTCTTTGCTACAGCAGCGCCACATCCAGCTTTGTCGTATTAAGCACTGTGATTGTTTGTCATGTAGAAGCTTCTTCTTCTACCCTCCCACCCCTCCACTCCACCCCAGTCTTGCCTGTCGTTGAAATTGGCTCTGAAACCACGTCACTTTTGATTTGACCCGGCAGACCCTGAAACAATAACTTCATCAGGCCTTTTTAAAGTCTCATCCTGACCAGACAGCTACAAAAACAAATACTGATTTCCCTTCATCTGGTCTAGAGGGCATCTATCTTTTGTTTTGCTTTCTCTCTCTCCCTCGGATGGGATAACGCACAAATGGCAATCACAGTGCTCCCATACGCTCAAGGCTCCTCTACCTGCATTTTTTATTTATGAGGAAGGGGATCATCACATGTTATTGTAGCTGTAGGATTAAATAGGTCACTCTACGGATGCTTGGCCACTTTAAGAAATACAGTATGTCAACATACACTATGTATGTGCACTGACTTTCTAAACCTCACTACTCTGCATCATAATCATAAGCCACTTGTCAGTATGGCTTACATATGACAGTGTCAGTGGCTCAGTCTGTAACTGTGACACCATTCCACTGGAGTAAACTGTCCTCACTGAACAGATCTTCTAACTTGGAGTTGTGACACAGGGGAGAGTCAGGCACATGCTGAGGAACTTGAGCTGTTTGGTAAACCAAGAGGACTGATAGCCTTCAGGAACACCAGTTCTTGGCACTCCATGACCCTTTCAATGGAGAGCGGGGCTCTCTGGGGCTTTTTGAAATGGGAGACCCTCTGGGCTGATGTGTGGGTGTGTATGTATGTGTCTTTTTGTCAAGGACATTAGAAAGGTGATACATGGGGCTTATGAGGCAGGATAATATTGTGTTTTGTGTATTTGTTGTTTCTGTGTGTAATTCTGCCTTTCGTCTCAGTCTTGATGTTTAAAGTTTCTCTTTGTATGTACCAAAGTGTGGTTATTCTCCTGTATTTTCATTGCTGTTGTCCACAATTTGACAGTGTTTCTTCCCCATTCCCTTTATTTATTCAGACATCGCTCCCACACCAAACATGCGCAGTGATGAGATAATGAAGTGAGACTTAGCTATTATGTCAATATTGCATATGTCCAACATTAAGTCTCATCATTATGAAGTTAGGGGACGGGAGCTGGGCCCCTTGTGGGCCCCTGACGGGCTTAATTATCTGATAATGGGATGATGTGCATAATGGCCCATCTCTGTGGAATAGATTTATTTCTCCACCACTTCTGTTGAAGGCTTACAGATGTACATATTCTGAACATGTGGTTTTATGCCCACACACCAATGCCCGCACATGCATTTGCATTAATAGACATTATTTGTCTGATAGACCCACTCACAGGGGTCTATCCACATATGGCAGAACTTGTGCACCCATATAGATAGAGAGTAAATCATAATTACAGTGATGAAGTACCCCCTCTGCTCTCTTAATTGAGAATAAATGGGACCTGGGCCTGCCCCAAGTGTCTCCATGCTGATGAGTAGAAGGCTGTCCTCGCTGGCTTGCAATCCCACAGAGAAAACAACTGCACCGTTCAGAGGACCAATTTGTCATCATTGCACATAACCCACATAGATGCCTCTTTACCAAATGATGTGTTGCAAATGAACAGACATGAACAATGAAGAGCAGCTGTAATCTTTCATACCTCTGTACGAAGTAATAAATCTGTATACATGTAACCATATATAAGAAAAAAAACAAAGCCCCATCAGGCCGGAGGGTTTTCTCATTTCTGAGGTCCATAGCCCACCATCTCTAGAGAGTTTATATTTCGCTCTCAAGTGCACATATTAGTGTATTCCTGTCACAACCACACTCCCTCTTTCCTTACTAGGATTGATTAATTCATAAAAGCTCTTTGGCTTCTTCTGTCATTTCTCATCTAAGTAGTTAACTCATCGGGTTTGTTTTTAACCCACATCCTTCTAACAGTATCCTGCAGCAGTACTCCCCTGCTTCCATCTCCCCTGATATCCACATGACCCGTAATAGGAGTAAAAGTTTGCATTAGTCCATGTAGCATGGTCGGCTGCAGATATGGGGCAGAAAAAATGAAAAAAAAAACTAAAATGACTTCAGCTGAAGAAAATCCAGGTAGAAAAACTACACCTGTCAGACTGTCCTCACACTACCCCTTACCTCAAGTCCTGCTAACACATTAGTATTGGACCCTGGTTAAATGGTTGACCCCGTCCTCTCTCCATCCATCCATCCAGATGAATAGTAATGACCACAGAGAGGGACAGCCCCTGCTGAATTAAACATTTTCTGCCAATAAGGATCTTATTTTTCTTCCTCGGATGGCAGAGCAGGGCGACATTTTTCAGCTGGCAGAGGTACTTAATCATTGTGCAGCTCAGGTGCATTGGAGGTCAATGACATGGACCCAGCATTGTTCTAATATATTCCATCTCAGGGTAAATGAGATGCATTTCGCTGTGAACCTTCAGTTTCAGGGGGAAACCACAACTGCTGCTGCAGTCTGTGTGAAAGCCAGATCCAGTCTGTGTTTCTGAGAAAGTGGCACATGCCAAGCTCCATAATGGTTGCAGCTATAGCAAGCCAGTGTCCAATCTCCCTAAAGTGTTACCCAGGAACTCCCATGTGGTTGCAACAGTCCCTCTGTCTTCTGTTTCACACTGTGACTGTATATTACTTTGTGTTTCATGTGCAAACTCACCCAGAGACCATGACTGATTTATATCCTTTGTCCTTTCTCTTTTTTTTTTCCCTATTTCCATGGTTTCTCTTTTTCTCTTGCCTCCACTTCCCCTCTTTCCTCCCTCGTCTCTCACATATCAGGTCGCCAGCTGACCATCTTCAACAGCCAGGCATTCATCAAAATTGGTGGAAGTGGAGAGAAGGGGCGCCACTTCCAGGGCCAAATCTCAGGCCTGTACTACAACGGCCTGCAGGTGCTCAAACTGGCAGCTGAGGGTGACCCCAATGTCCAGACTCAGGGTAACCTGCGGCTGGTGGGTGACGTACCCTCAGTGCTCACTACTGACACCACCTCCACCACCCCACTGGCTGATATGTCCACCACAATCATGGAGACAACTACCACCATGGCCACAACCACCACCCGTAAACAGCGCTCCACCATAAGGGACAGTGTCACACCGGTGAGCAGGCATTATCTTGTGATCTGAGCTTGTTTACATGACTAATGCTGTTTGGGGCAGATATTTTGGTGCAGTGTATTTTTAAGGAGCATTGCCAGTTAGTTTTGATAGGCCTTCTAAAGTTCCTCCAAGATCACAAAATGCTGAAAATAATATTTGAAAGATTAAACAGCATGGCCAAGTAACCAGATGGCTCTCCTTTGAAAAGAAATCATACATCAGCTACAAGGTCAGACACTCACGTCCTCAGCACAGTGTTTTGTTTGAGCCTCCCCTTGTTAGTCCTCAGCCATGTTCAGATGTTCAAACAAACCTCGGCCTGAAAGGGAGTCACAGAAGAGCTTTGTGGTGCTCGTCCTATTAGACCAATCAACACTGCAATTTTGATTCCCTCTAAAACGATGTGGCTGACTAAACCCCAGACATGATGGGATGCTGGAAATTACAGCTTGCCCAGACAGATCAACAAAGGCTGGAGGAAGAGAGGAACATAATGAAAAGAAAATCCTGCTGCAGCAACATCATAAATCTACTTGGGGTGTGCTAAACTCTCCCTTGCATGCATGTGAAAAGCGCTGATTTATGGTCTATTCATTATCCACATGTGCTAAAGCACGGCCTTTGTCATGGTAAGCTACAATTAGCAAATAGTTAGGAAGCATTCTTGCTCACAAAGTAGAAGATGGAAGAGGCAGGTCATCCAGGCACCCAGCTACAAGGAATATGCTGCAGTCCACACCCAGTATCATTAGCTACAAGCTGTGTGGTGTGTCCAGGTCATCACTGGAAGTAAACTTTCATTCCATGTCTGTGTTACGGTACATATACATTATGCCTCTGTTTCTGTTATTGTAATCATTTTGTAAAGTAGCTACTTGAAATGTCTCATCTTTAAAAGCTGTCCATGTCGTACTTTAAACTTCAGCTGTCCAGCACACTTTGATGATGTTGGAAACAGAAAAGCAAGGCACCAATTACCGGTGTGTTTCTATTATAGAGTTGTGTTCATTACCACTATTCATGTCAACAGAAGCTTATCTGAGATCAGTCAGCAAGCAGTCAGTCACTCATCTCTGACATCCACAATCAGCAAGTTCAGAGTATATTTAGACTAGCTCATGCACTGTCCCTTTATCATCATGGAAGCTCTGTCTCATTTTGAGTAAATGCACCAGCACAAATTAGAGTGAAGTCAAGGTGAAGCTAAGTGCACAGTTCATGATATTTCATATCACAGACACCAAGTTGAAAGAAAATTGGAGTTTTTCATCAACTCCTGGGTGTAGTTATGTTGTCTTCCTCTTGTACATTTACAAAAAAAGTCACTTATTGAAGGCTCCATAGCCTCATCAGAGTAGAAGATAGGAACATACTGTAGGTGTTGGTGCTCGAAACAACCCTCATCTTCAGTCACAGTGGAGGCTGCAATCTAATTAGAAGCAAGTAAGAAGTTTTGGAGATCAAGGTCAGTCAGCACTTTCTTGAGCATGTCCAGTTGGCAAGACTTAGATGAACTGTCTGTGGTTTAGTGTTTCTGCATCTTCACTCTAAATATGAGATCAATGAAACCTGACTCCAAGATGTCACATGTAGCCATCCACTCCGTTCACATCGGTAGCCTCCAGATGTCTTGGCTGAAACCTTCTTCTGTGCTCAGTATATAGTCAGCTTTTTATAGCAGCGGTCTGTGATGACAAATTGGCAATCATAGATGACCCTGTTTGATAAATCCTCAAAAATCGTTTAGAATAGCAAGGAAATAGTGTTTTAATGTGTGCTGCATTTGCTGACAGATGTTTATGATTGGTCAAAAAAGTCCCTCCTTTAGTGTGCTTGTTATTGTGAAGATTCACACATTCTAAGAACTTCTTTACTATAGTTATTATTATTACTGTTATTATGTACCTGGCAAAATAGTGTTAAGGATATGTGCTTGAGAAAGAATAGATATTACCGAGTTACTCATCCACATACTTTAATGATCACTGAGGCAGTATTTTTCATGTGCAGGCAGAAATATGAAAGCGGGGCATATCTTTGGTTATACGGTCCAGATCAGTCACACAGATAGTCCCGGTGTGACTGAATATTTTTGGTTTGAAATGTGTTCTTATTTGTGAGGAGGTGTCGAAGGCCTGGGAGGCTCATCTGCTCCTCTTCAGTGAAAAGAAAGAATAAAACCTAGATGGATCAGTGAAGGGAGAGGGGATATATATTATTCTAAATCTGTATAAACAGGTGCAGTTTAATAAATTAGACATGAAAGGTTGAAGACTGTATTGATTTTGAACAGCTATGAGGCACCCAACAGTGTGTGACATCTTTCATATTTGCTCTTCTAAACATCTCAGCATCTGGTTTGTCTGTCCTGTGAAAAAGCCTGTGGTGCACAGGAAATGTTGTCATTTGTATTTATATTGGTGGCAGCGAAAGCAGTTTGGTGTAAATTGTAACTAAATGGCAGAGAAAATGCATGTCCTGTACTGAAACCGCAAAGTTGTGCACTGCCAACTCAGTAAAAATCACAAATCACTTGAAATTGCTGAAATGTGTGTGGCAGTGAGTTCTTCTATTGAGGCACATTGTAAATGGTCACTTTCCACTAAAGTTGCTAGTAAAACTAGAGTCACAGGTAGTTGTTTTTGAAAGCCACTCTAGGTTTTGGAGGTGGTTTAATGCTTGCAGATTAAATGCTCAATGTTGAAACCCTTAAATTATAGCTCCAATTTGTACATGTTTCATTTTTATATTTTTGTAGTATCTTTCAGATTATTCTGAATTCTGCTGAATGCTAACAGCACATGATTTAATCTCTGTATTAAATCCATTTAGTTTCTGAATTAATTCAGCAACTATAGCATTGCAGGGCCACTCTGATTTGCCTCTGACCTGGCCACTTCTCCAGGGCAATGATGGCTGAGGCTTATGGGTATTGTAGTATTTAGAGCCAGCCATCGTGACAAAATGACAAAACATTTATTTTATCAAAATGAAGTTAAGATAATTAAAGCCATAGCCATCATACTTACATACAGCTGTTACATTGCCCTGGGGAGTCCTGTGTTTCTGTCTATAGTAAATTAACATTGAACATATTGTTTAAAGTAAGATTTTAAGTGGGGAAACATAATGAGGTGAACATTTCCAGAACCTCTGGTCCCTCCCACAACTCAACTGAGTCTGTCATCATGTTCATGTGATTTTCTTTCTGTCAGGTGGAGTTGTTTTTCTGTAAAGACTATAGTTTCCATCTTGTCTGTCATTTTCAGAAGCACACACAAGCTGTAGTAGTGTTGCATGAAGCAGTTGATGGTTGTCATGTTCCAAGAATTCAGATTCAAGAGCTGTCTCGCTCGTTCTTGTCACCATTTTTATGTCCGTTTCTGGATGCAAATGGTCGGGCTCGCACAGGAAAATGACATTCCCTTTCTTAATCTCACATACAAAGCGCTGATTGGCTCATCTAAGAAACTGATCTCAGTGAACGCACCAGGACTACTCAAAACCCTGAGAAAATATGAGGCGGACAGTGATCCAAAATTTGAACCAGATTTTAAATCAATATATATTTTAAAACAGCCAGTGACAAACTGCACAGCTTGTAATCAGAGATAGGTTTTTTGCAACAGTTTTTGCTCAGTTTGTAGATTTTATTCAGGTTTTAGGTCAGATTTTATTTGTTTCAGTCACCCCCACGGGGGAACACAGTTTCCATGCATAAGCTGACATGCAATATATTATGCCGATAACTCACTCATTTGACTTGTGTGTCATCTTCTATAGCCAAGATGTGAATAGTAAATCATGATAAATATTAAGGTCATTGTGGGATATTGTGCAAAGATTCTACAGAGTGTCTTTAAAAAACAGAAAGGAATAATTTGTGGTTTAAGCTCACGTATATCTTTACATGAGGTTACAGTTTTATTGTAACAATCACTGAGCTGCAGCAAAGTCATTTTCGAAATGAACCTCAAAAACCCTGCATCAGTTCTATTAGTCCCTGTCACACAGGCATGAAGAAGAAATACTGTCTACCTGATTCCTTCTCTTTTACACAAACACACACATACACTTGTATGTACATACATAGTCCTTTGGGTAGTTAATAATCCATCCAGTGGAGCCTGTAGTGTAATTTTGTGCTAGAGCAAACATAGTAATAGCATTATAAATACAGCGATGGGCAAAGCCAACAGGAACTGTGGCACTCTAATGAATATCCCCAGCAGCCGGGAAGATGCAGCAGAGACAGGCCAGGGTGGCGGCAAGCAAGTGAGCGGAAACCCAAATTTCAATTTCTCCAAAAGCTGCGAACTACCCGCCGCGCTGCAGCTTTGATCATGGTGGAATAATGTGCTTTGATGCCTAGAATAAAGATGTACCTTTTGATGTGCAAGGCGAGTAGGGGTCTGGTTTTTTTCTTCCCCTCACCCCGTGATACTGTAGGCTTCCATGAATCTGTTGGAGTCATCACTTGTCTCCCTCTGACCCATATTTGGTGTGAGAGTGTTATAAAACTAAGATCACAAGCTGCTATGTAAAATCAAGAGCAGTTCCAGGTGTTTGTGATCTCTGTCTGATTTGCCTAGATGAGTGTGAGCTGGTTCAGAGTTGTCTCCTCATGGAGTCAACTAGGAGAATGAAGATAAAAGCTCTGACCAGGTCAAACTGGAGTTCTCCTTCAGCATTCATCAGTACTCTGGCTTTGTGAGTCGTGACAGTTTTCTATCCAAGCCATTACACTCAGCGCTGATGTTTTAGATGTTTGACAGGGGGGTGAACGGTGGTTTAGAAGTGTGTCACAGTTAGTGTAATAACAGAAAGCTTCAACAGCCATTTGACATTCAGTCAGTAAAGCCCTGGGTTAATGAAATATTTTTTCATTTATGGCCACAACACATTTATTGATGACCAGGCTGCTTAATTTAAAGTGCACACTTTAAAGAATTCATTATGTGCCGTTTTATATCGACTTAGGAAAAATGTAGCAGCTGAGTGCATGAACGGAACAGAAATATAAGCGCATGCTTAATGGAGATTTTGCTGGGAAACTGAGGCAGCAATATTGGCCATTTGACAGAGCCAGGTGATGTGAGCACACATTCAAACCCATAATATGTCATTAATAAGTGGTTACACCCAGGCCATGAACTAATAACACAAGGACTGTAGCAGCACTCAAATCAGTTATGCTGATAAAAGCCCCCATTTTCAGGTGACCCCATGAAAAGCAACCAGAGGCTAAGAAGGGGAGGAGGTTTGGGTGTCTAGACATACAGCTGTGTGACTCATACAGCAGTGAGGACAAACCTAAATTGGAACCACCTTGTCAGATTGAATCTGTTTTCATCAAGATCCCTGCTGCAGACTTATGTCTACATTTTGATCGGCGGTGTTAGGTCAGTTTGTTTCACTTTGGCTTCATATTTCTGCTTGTATAAAAACATATGGGTGCTACTTAGAGTACACCTACCTCCATATTTTCACCTTATTTGCTATTACTATCAAACTGCTCAACAATAAATCTTCATTTTGTAAGCAAAGACAGACTTTTTTAATCCTCCAGTCCCTTTAAATTTTGCCTCGTTCATTGCATTAGCCTTTGTGATAATAGGTATCGGTGGAGTCCGAGATCCTCACCGTGGCCGCCACTGACTCCTAATCCTGCCAGATGTACTGTGTATCCTCTGCACAAATAACCTTTGTCCTAACTCTATCTCGTCTCCCTCCTTTCTCTGTTGTTGCAGAATGTGGATGACATCTTGGTAGCATCAGCTGAGTGTCCTAGTGATGATGAAGATTTGGAGGAGTGTGAGCCTGGAAATGGTGAGTCAACTCTGGGAGTTCTGTGCTCATTGTGTTTAGTGTTGAAAAACAAAGTGCAGCCTAGAAAGTACCGCTGTGACCCTTACTTCACTTTTCTGTGACACCTGGTGACTGCACAGCCCTCTGTATGCACCTGTGATTGGCCAGATGTGGACCCTCCAACTGCCTTTCTTATTGGTTTTCAAAGCAGCAGACCATCAGCAGCACCATGGTCCATCAGACGCTCAGCTAAGTGGTAGTATCTGGTATTTACCCAGCTGGTGCACCAATCTCCTGCTCTAACTTATCAAGGCAGGAGAGTTTCAACATGGAAACGCAGCTTGTGTGTGTAGCACGCAGCTGTAGCCTGGCAGGCCTGGTGGCTGAGGCACTGTTAGTGTGATCAGTGGGTCAGGCAGTGTTCTGACACTATGACAGGAGGTGGAAGCTAAAGGCCATGTGTTTTACTCCCTGCCTCTGTGGTCGCTAGGTCTATTAAGCTGCCCATACTTGAAAATTGCCAAGAACCACATAGAGTAGCAGTGTGGTTCAGTCAGTGCTCCCAAAACTCGAGGGGACAAAAGAGATGTATGCAGATCCACGTTTAATAACATTTTATTCCATTGTTTTGCAGATTCACTCCTGTGTGGGCAGGATGAAAACAATTGCTTCAATTAAAATTGTCATTAAAATTGTACCAGTATACATACATGCTGCTGTGGAGCTAACTAATAGGATTCAAAATAGAACTCCTGAAATTGTTTTGTTGGAACCACATTCACATTAATAACAGCTAGAGCACAAGCAATCATTCAAAATGAGGTTTATAAGCTTTATTTGCTCTTTATAGATTGTTGTTTAATCAAACAGTTACATTTGCTAGCAATATTTGTTTATTATTGGAGTCTGACTCCCACCTTAGTTTTCTTTTTTACTCAGTAAAAAGAGGTTAGCTCATATTTATCTTAATCAGTAAACTTACAATCATATCTATAATGTGACATATTTCCAAGTGAAACTGAATGTGTTAGCAAGGTGTCAGGATTAAATCCTAACAATCTGAATGGATCACACAAAAGCAGGTGTGGCAGAGTGAGTACAGTGCGATGCAGAACTGGCAACTGAGAGCTGTTTAGGAGGAGATGAACATGGAAGAAGTGAATAAATCAAATCTCGAACGTGCTCTTTTGAGAATTTTATTCTTTGCCAACTGAGACTCAGATGCACACATCCCTTTGCTCTACTAGCTACTATGAGCCACAAGCTAATGTTCAGGTGTGCTTTTAGGTTTAGCTAGTCACCCCAAGTAACACTTGATTGAATACATTCTTGTACCTGCACCTGATAAATCATGAAAAATACTTTTACAGACATTTGTCACATTTAGCATATAATTAGAGATTCCCAAACAAACACACTGAAATAGAATTAGAACATGGTTGTCTTTAACTGTATCACATTCAGATTTCTCTAGCCATCGTAAGTTGCACACATTCTTACTTTGCAGTCTTTGGTAGATACGCATACATACACAGCTTATTATGGATTCATTTCAAGGGGTTTTACAAAGCAGAAATGCAAATAATAAAACTGAGAATGTATCACATACCTTAGCACGGCCCCACCATGAATTAAACATCTTTAAGGTCAGCCTTTCCCAAAAATGACTCTAACGTCCTGAGGACAGAGCAGACCTTTGTTATAAGGAAATCTGGGCAACAAAAGAGTCTCAATTTAATTTATTCTCTACAGAGTCAAAATTGTAAGAATCATTTTTTGTGTGGTTTCAACAGAATTTATGGTGGACAATAAATGGCAAGAAGGTGTGTTTGTGTAAGGAGAAGCTGATTTGAACCTGAGTTGAAAAACTTGTGTAGCACTCTCCTGCGGTTTTCTCTGTAGGTGTTTAGGACCAAAATACAGACTCAATTCTCTTCTTATCGAAAGGAGAAATGAGAGTTTTTCTGTGTATGCTATGCCCAGGCCTAATCTCCCATGGGGACATGCATCTTTCTCTCCCCCTCTCTCATTCTCTCTCTCTCGTATGCCCACACAAACACACATCAGGTGGCAGGCGTTTCCAACAGACAGACACTTGCGTCTCTCACTTCGTGGGTGTAAAATTTTCTCTCTGCAGCCGTCTCTCCTGAGAAACAACACTCTCATGTGCGCACACATGCTCCGTATCACACCTTCCAGATGCCACAAGAGTTCAGCAAGGCGAGCCAGTTGGGTCAGATAAGCCTCCATGAAAACTGTGGACAAGGAGAAAAGAGTCAGCCCTCTCCACAAAGCTTGTACCTTCTCTATCGCCAGCCCACAAACACAGGCCTGTAGTAATCATGTGATACAGTAGGTCCAATTTCCAGTGTTTTCAATTACATGTGAGAATGTAGCTGGGTGTTACTGAACTGCCTTCAGGGAGGAGAAAACGTGTTAAGCAATGTTGTGGATTTATTTATTTTTTTTATTAAAATGAGCGGGTTCTTGCAGATCAATGCAACTCCTTTCTATAAACAGCCAGCAAAGCTCCAATCTGCTTCACTGATGTGCTTCATTACCTCTAGCTGTAGTATTACACCACATAACTCAAGGCATGCAGCTGCATTTGGTCTAGGAGTCTTTTGGTCGTCTATGCTTTGATGTGAAAAACTCAGATGATGATTGTGGAGCAGCTGCAGCCACTGTCGCACACTTGCAGACAAACTCGGAGTGGATGCAAAATAGACAACAGCAGAGGTCACAGAGGAGAAGATGAGATGGGAGCAGCCTAGAGGACTGTGTTTAGGAAGGACTGCCCTGCATTGAGATTTGTCTCACGTTCTTGTGCTCAAAGCAGAACAGAGACTCTAGGAGAGGAGACAGGCAGAGATGGTAAGAGAGAAAGAAGAGGAAGCAAACAGGATGTGAAATCAAGAGAGTGAGCCAAGTGAAATTTGTGCGAACAATTCCTGCTTTTCCCATCAGGCTAATTAAACTTTGACTTTGAGCCTTAATTACATCACCCAATTAAAGCTTTGGTTTGGATTCCTCAGTGCTGTTAATGAGACCAGGAAGTAGGGACCTGGATTATAAGATGAAATGCGGAGGGCACGGAGTGACGAAGTGCACACGCATACACAGCAAGACCTATAGACACTAATAATATTCTCAGCAACACACACTTACGGATACTACGCAGACGTCTCTTTCTCCAACAGTAAGCCTTGCTAATTAAATCTTTCATTTTACGGCCATGTTTCACTTTATATCTTTTCTTTACCTCTGCACAACTTCACTTTTCTTCTCTGTTGCATGCTTCTGAATTACTTATTAGTCCCAGGCTGTTGTAGATGCTGATTTGGTTTTACTCTGACAAGATCAGAACTCTGAGGAGCTCCTCCATACTTCATCAGACGACACACTATAGAGACAACCTGCTAATGAAGATTGGGTGATAAATGAGGGATGCTGGTGTGATCAGTGCAGTGATTAGTAACAGGTTATCAAGATAGACTGAAATATAAAAAACGAAAAACAAAGGGGAGATTTACTAAGGTCTTACGGTTCATTTTCTGGCATTAACCATGAAACTGCACATTCATATTTACTAAGAGTCACATTTGGGGTTTGCACTGGAGAAAACTGGGAAAAAGTTGCACGTTGGGT